GCAAGCAGAAGCCGCCAGTGCAGAGCGAACCAAGACACCCAAGAGCAAAACACCGACTCCACAAAAGGATGCAGGACCCGAGCCCGCAGACCGAAGCAAGACTCCCAAGAGACGCAAGAGCAAAGCATCGACTACACCGAAGAGCAAAACCCCGAGTCCAGAAAAGCCTGCAGAAGCCGCCAGTGCAGAGCCAAGCAAGACACCCAAGAGCAAAACACCGAGTCCAGCAAAGGCCGCAGATGGGACCAGCCAGACACCGCGATCCACGAGCAAAGCATCCAGGGCCAGTCCGAAGAGCCAGTGCAGTGGAAAGCGCCGCCACAGTAGCCCAACAAAGGGGATGTCACCTGCTTCCTCGACCTCTGCTTGGAAGGCCTGTTATCTTAGATTATTCTCGTTTGATTTCTCCTAGATCGATATATCAACCCGAATGCCCTGGAACCCTAGCTATACGACACACCCCTGCACCTAAAGCCCCAAGCCCTCATCCCGGAACCTAAAACCAACAATCATATACATTATATTATAATGATATTAGAATAAACCCCGAACCCCGCAGGATCTATAATAATCCTTTTTTTTTAAGCCTGCAGCCCGCTAGTTGTCTTTTATCATCCCTCCTGAACCAAACCCATTAACCCCAGATGCCTGGCCAGGATGAGGATGAAGGAAGCATGCCGAAGTTCAGGAGGTCGTCCACTGTGCCTTGGATTTAGTATTCTAAGGGCTACTTAAGATTAACCATGGCCGTTGTGGTATCTGGTTGCTATGTGCATTGCAGGATGCATGCTGTATCCACGACAATCTTGCGACTCTGACTCCTGTGTTAGAGCACATTGTCTGGAGCTGCAATCAGGCGTGCACTGGTTTATATCCAACCGTGTCGAGAACTGGCTCTGCTTTGACTGGAATGAAAGCAAAGAAGGCGGGCCAAAAGTTTTCGGGTGATACCCGGTACGTGTGTGCTGAGCTGAGGGGTGACTGGAAGTGGCATGAGCGCACTTTGCGACTGCTGCGGACCCCGGTGTCGAAGAAGTGCTGCTTTCTGTGTAACGCCGAAGCATCCGATGCCCCACTTCGCTATTATGATCATGGTGATGGAGCAGCATGGAGGCATACACTGTTTGACACTGCAGACTTTCTTCGGCGGGCTCTTCGGCCTGGACAAGTCAGAATCTTGGCTTTGATTTAGAAAACAGCCTGCTTTCGTCAATTCAAATCACAGCCCAAACCACACCAGTCTTGAAGGCCCTCTGACTCTGCTGACGGGCTTCGATGTATCCATGATCAAGTTTTGCAGCATGCATGTCTGCAACCTGGGATTGGTGCACACAGCAAGTGGCGGTGCATTGTGCCCAATTTGCATTCTACAAGTCTTCTGATTTTTTGTCGACTCACTGCACACCGCAGGGTTGCGAGAATTATAATTCATAGTCATGATCAGAGAAATCTAAGGGAAGCTTTGCTACGGGAGGGCCACTTCGGGCCTTACGACCCTGACGATCTGAAGGCATTGCTGGAAACAGCCTATGGCGAGTTTCAGGTTTGGCGCCGGGCCAACAAAATTGCTTGCTCCCAGCGATCTTTCGCGCCACGGCATTTGAAGAAGCGGGTGCATGGGTACTACCTGACGACCAAAGCTTATAATGCCCGCATCGTGATGTTGTGGTTGGCAAGCAAATTGCAAGATGTTGCCCGGCAAGCAGCTGCGAGCCAGAGCATTCGTGTGCATGCCACGGCACTGCAGCTCTGCTGATTTGCCCAAACCCTCAAAAGGAATGTGGTTCGTGTTTAATTTCAATAGTTGGGCAATTCCCAAACCCTCAAAAGGAATGAGGTTCTTGCAATGGATAGTCTAATAATCTAATTTTCAATACTTGATATACGGTTTTGACACCACAAATAATTTAATCCGGGCAGCTGATCACGAGGACTGCCTTCTCCAACTGGTTCAGCAGCAATGAGAAGGCGAAGCGCTTCTTGCAGCTTCCATGGCACCGAGCAATTTATTTCAGTTTGTTTTAGAATCGTGCCGAAAGAGATATAAATATATTGCATAAGAACTATATAGCTAAGTTCTTATGCAATATACTTATATCTCTTTCGGCACAGTCCCTGACCTAGCTATAGACATGTGCTCATGAGGACCCCGGCCCAAAGCCAAGAAATTTATGCCAATGGAATGCTCTTTCTCAGATGCCATCTGCAATTGACACGAATGTCGCATCGGCTCCTTCGCTCTTATTATATTTGTTCTGTATATAGTGAAATTTGATTTCTAGATTATTTATAAGTTATAGTAGCTAATAATAATTCACACTCCCACCTACCCCGAAACAATCGGCTCAGGCTGCAAATCTTCTCTTGGATCTTGAAACCGAAGTTTCATGCAACTTGGCTTTATGAGTAGTTGGGTGGTTGTACTACGATGCTGGTGCTATTGGACTCTCATGCTCAGGCCATGCTCCATCTCCTGGAGCAAAGCAAATCATGGCGATTCCTAGCTGAAAGTCTTGAACACATTCTGGCTTTCTATTTCAGACTGTACGGATATAGAACCGGAGATCCTATGCATATTTCTTTCGATCCCTGATCAGGTTACAACACACGTTATACACATTGCTTTGCTGGTGAAGATGCAATGGGCTGGCTCAAACGAATCTTGGGATTAATTTCATTATCACTTCTACGTCTTGCTTGAAAACCAGGACTCCAGGGGGGATTTCCTTTTAATATTTCATGCTCATGAGCATCAGATATCTGAGGGGTCAGTCTGCGTGCTCCTCGCAAGCCTGGTGCATTCAATCGCTGGGTTATGCGGATGGGAATCTTGAAGATTGTGGCGTCAAAGCGTCGTTTGACCAGGATGCTCGGCCACAAGTATATATATCCTGCCGAATTCGAACTGTCATGCTAAGCCGTATGATTAAGCCGGGATCTGCCAAGCCCTGAAACCCCAGCCCCAGCCCTGAAACCCCAGCCCCAGAATTGCACGTCCCAGACCAGCCCAGGCGCGAGCGCGATCGAGGATGGAATCGCTAAGCCGTGTGATCCAGCCGCACATTGGCAAAATAGGAATAATTCCTGTAATCCCTCGTAACATTTATATCTTTGTAATTCCCAAGCCCAGGCAAAAAAAATCTGGACAACCATGGATCCGGAGTGATGAGCTGCCTGCTCTGGAGGACTGGCGATTCAATGGATGCATATGAATCCCGGCTTAGTTCCAAGTATGTTTCTAATTTGGGCTCTTTTTTGTTTAAGCTTGAACTCCTTATAATAAGTGATACACCAATATATCCCGAAGTACATCATATGATCAATGGTTCTTTTAATTTTCGTTCGAAGCGGTGCAGCTCTATCGAGACGCCTCATGTCATGGCCCCTGCCGATGCAAACTTTGGCAGATTCTTTTGTATAGAGTCTTTATTTAAGGCTCTTGGGTGTAGGTTGTTGCAATCATACATACTCCTAAAAAATTAGACCCATTAAAGGTTCCTTGTAAGGGTTTCGAGCTTGCCCTTCCAAGACATATATCTATTTTCTTTCAAAATAATATAGAGCTCTTTGTAAAGGCTTTGGGGTGTAGGACTTTTGTGTTATTACAATGTTTTTTTTCGCGAGTTTTTGCCCTAGGGCTGCTACAGTTCCTTTACAATAGGTTTCGGGGGTTATAACTTGCAGGGCTCGTTCCAGGGTTTCGGTTTCAGAACTTTTGGGAAATTTCACTTCATTCCGGATTCCAAATCCAGCCCAGGCTGTCGGCATGCTGCTGAGATTGGAATCTCACGATGGGTGTCCTGGCTGGATAATTAATCTGTGTGTGTCTTGCGAACCCTCTCACAAAATCCAAAATATATATGATATGATGTATGAACTAGCTTAGGTGCTGTTGGCGCCGGGTCCTCCATGACTCTCGCAGTCGCGAGCATGAAAAATGAGGGATCCCAGCGTGCACCTATGTGGCCCCGATGCTGTTTCCTACCTTCTGAAAGCCACCCTAACAAGCCGAGAATTCTAAAAACCAGCGACCCCGGTGTCGTTTTTATACTTGCTACGAGCCCCAATTGCAACCCTAGTAAGTAGAAATCAGCAGCCCCATTGCTGTTTCCACACCTTCTGCGAACCACCACTAGAAAGAAATCTAGTGAAATTTATGAAATATTAGTTGGCCCACTGCTGATCCTGTACTGCATTCGACCTTTATAAGACTCTATCTCAACGAGTCTCCATGCAAAAATAGGCGAGCCCATTGCTGTTTCTTAAGGTTCTTTGACCCCTTTCTCAAGGATTTATTGCTGTTTCTTGAGGTTCCTTGACCCCTTTTTCAAGGATTCATAAGTGAAATCACTGCTGTTTCGGTTGCTTTTCGGAGCCCCCGCTGAAGCACCCTAAAAATAGGCTTTGACGCAACGTGCGTGCTTTTCGAGCAGGTTACTAACCTGCTCAAAAGGCAAGCAGGAAAGACGAGTAGGGTTAGGGGGTTAGACTGGGGTTGGTTGGGGAGTTAGGGTCTCAACACGGTAGGAAGCGGAGGCTTCGATTGGACATCCTGACGTCGCATGGGTTTAAGTTGCCGAGTTCGGAGGATGGAGTCAGGAATATCTGAATATCTTGTTCAAAGCTGATCCAGGGAGAAGGGAGTCGGCCCCTGGCTTAGCATCACAGGGATTCGGCTGGCATGGTGCGACAAATCTGCCAAGCTCTAAACACAAGCAAGCTTGTAGCCAAAGACCTCAGGACCCTAACCAAACACAAACACCCAAACTCGACCTTAAATCCCAAAGCCCTAGTAGTACCCTTCATGAACCCTAGAAGGAACGTGAAGGAACCCCCTTGAAGGAATCAAGGACCTGGAGTCTTAGCTTAGGCTTAGACCAAAGGAACTATACTGAACTTAGAACCCTAGCAAAAATTATGACTTTAGCTGTTTCTTAGGGATTATAATAATATAATAACCAGAAATTAAAAAATATTTCTGTTTACCCCTAAGGGAAGGCCTCGGCACGCCGGCGCTGTGCCAGACGGTGATTCCATGCCTCTGGGCCAAGCTCTGCAACGGCTTTCGAGCTCAGGCCAGGGTCCAGGGCTTTAGGGTTCAGGGCTTGGGGTGTAACCTATTTTCCCTAAACGCGAAACCCTAAACGGGTCAGGGTTTGGGGTTTAGGGCCTTGGGGATTTTAGGACTTTGCTGGCATTGCGGGCTTCAAGCATTTAGGGTCAGGGCTTTTCGGCTCGGCTGTCGGTTCTTGGAGCTGCGGGTTTCTACCTGGGAATTCTTGGATTTGAGGCTCAAGGCTCAGGCGTTCAGGGTTTATAGGGGTTTGGGGGTCTCGGGATTTAGGGTTTAGGGTTCTGTAGGGTTTGGGATGTTGGGTTGCAAGTGCAGTCAAGTCATTCTACTTTCCGGTTGGGGGTGCAGGGTTTCTGGCTCCATAGTTAAACCTCAATCCCTAAACTACTAATACCACGAACACTAGGAAGACCATTAATACTATTAATACGCATGGGAGGTCGTGGTATGGAGGGTTTTGAGTCCTCTACGTATTTGTACTCGTCCATAGACCCTCTAGGAGCTTCTTGACCTTCAGCGAACGAAATCACTGATCGAACTTCACAGCGGACCTTTGAGTGTTGCGCTGATCGAAGACGAAAACACTCCAACTCTGGCGCCTTGCTGCCACGAGTACATGTTACTCCTAGAGTGGGCTGCAATCTTCACATTTTCTAGGTCTAGGCTTCAGGGCTCGTGTTAATTATGTGTAAGTATATTCTTGCTCTATCTAAGTTCATCCGCATGAGATATACGTATTTATACATATATATATATATAGATAGATAGATAGACGCATAAACAAGTAATATATATATATATATATATATGTATATTAACCTTTCTGATACTAACTTGGTCGCAAATTCGGTCATGCTCGCATTGTACACTGCTGATACTGCTGCTGGGCTAGGATGGCAAGTAAGACTCGAGCTTGCAGACAAGCTGCAAATAAGCTTCGAAGGTTCAGGGTCCCCGTTTTAGGGTTTAATTAGGGTTTAGGGCTTATAGGGTTTAGGGAGGGTTTAGGGTTTAGGGGAAGTTCAGGGTACACGGTTGATCCCAAATCCAAAAACCACGGCGAAGCGCTAGAACTGCGCGAAGCTTGGGCCAAACCCTTCGCCTTGGATCACAAGTTGTCGTTCCGTTCCGGATTTGCGTCCAGGGCTCGTTGTCTTGTTGTTGACCCTATTCCGTATTGGGGGGTCCTAACTAAACCCGAAACCCTAAACCCTACTACAGATCATTGAATATGTTGCAGACAGACGGAAACTGGATTAAAGAGCGATGTTTCGGGGGGTTCGGGCTGACAGTGAAAATCTGGAGGCCTTCTCACACTTAGAGAACACCTGGACCCTACAGACAGAACCTCAATTTCTAGGATTCCTTCTTATGATCTATTTATATAGGTCCTCAAAAAAGAAGGTTTTTGTGAGAATACCTAAACCCCCTAAAAGTGGGTAGAATCATGGCCCAACAATATAAAGGGCAATTATTCTACAGACTTTGGGGATCCAAGTACCCAGAAAGCCCAATACCCTTTAATTAAGGAATATAGCTTACCCTAAGGCTCCATGTACTCATATGGTATATACTTAGGCCTTAAAGTACCTATATAGGGACTACTTTGGGCTTAAGTATCTACTATAACGGTACATGGAGCCTTTGGGTTAAATCATAATATGAAGCCCCTTGTAATTTAAGGTATATTGCTTAATTAAAGGGGTATTGGGCTCTCTGGGTAGGGCCTTTGGGCGAACCGCTGTAGGGCTCAGGGGGTCGGCAAAGACTTCGCGGCGTTGTCCGCAGGTCTGCGGAATAAAGAACCGGACCCTGGTCTGAACCGTTCCGAACATAGGGGACCCCAGAATATAGTACCCTACATGCCCAAAGGGTCCAAAGTACCGATATAGTAGACTGCAGGGTCTCTACATTAGGAATCACTGCTATGATTTGGGTAAGTATTCCCCATAACAGTACCTATAGGATCCTCATTATAAGGGCCGGTACCCCTGATTTTCGGAAACTCCCAAATCCCATGAGCAATAGACTTGCGCCGAGAGCCTATAATAATTGAGTACACCACCACGAATTCCGAATGTCTTCCTTCTCTCAGGGGATTCCCTACGGCTCCAAAAGTTTATGCAAACTTGACGCCTCGAAAAGCCAACCCGAGGCCAGAAAATCCAAGACCCAGAAATCCAATCCCGGAAGCTTGACGCAAGAAGGCCAAAAGGCCCTACCTAGACCCTCAAAAGTAGGTAACCGAATGGCCCAAAACCTATGAAAGGCTGTTATTCTACATACTTTGGGGGTCCAGGTACCACAAACCAATCTAGCCCACGCCCTGCACGCCGGCTGAACCCCGTCAGCCCGCTTGTAAACCAAGTCAGCCCTGAAACCCGTAGCTTGGGTACGGCCCCCACTCACTAACCCTAAGGGTCCATGTACTCATATAGCATATACATTGGCCTTGATGTAGTCCCTATATAGGTACATTGGGGCCCATGTATCTCCATATGGGTACATGGACCCTTAGGGTAATAGTTGAGTAATATTCAGATATAGATATGAGAGTTTCCGAAAATTAGGGGTACCTTATTTGGGGTCCTTACAAGAAGGATCCTAGTATTTAGGGTGCTTTGTTAGGGTCCTCTATTTTCGAAAATTCCATATATTAGGACCTTAATAGTAGCCCTTTTTTTGACTCTTACTGTATGGGGGCAGTACCTAACCCAATGCCCAGGCCCAGATGCCAAAACTCAAAGTCACCAAAGTCACTACACCCCAAGCCCCACATGTACAAGACAGGCCTAAGCCACAAGCATAGACTTAGACACAAAGACCAAGGCCCCCCAATATAGCTCTTATAAGCCCTCAACCTAAACCCCGAAGCCCCTAAGAACGAAAGACACACGTATACCCAACGTCATGACAAAAACCGCCCTATATAACCCTAAACCCTAAACCACCTGTGCCCAAAATTCTGCCCAAAACCGAGCTGCATGATGTCGCGTAGACGACCCCGGGCTGCTTCCTTGCGCCGGGTGGCCTGGCCGTAATTGCGTGTTTGATGCATTGATTCTTCCAGCAACATCTCTCCGTCGGAAAAAGAGGTGCCCTTATCTACACCCTAAATAGCAGGATCCTGAAAATGAAACCCCTACATCGCTGCCGTAAGGCCTAGAGAGCCAGTTCCCCCTACAACACGCTGAAGCTCTCCTTCAACCCTATGCACGCGAAAACCCTACACCAGTTCCAAAAATCAGAAAGCAAGCTCAACCTTGAAACCTTATAACTAAACCCTAAACTGTATAAGCCGTACACCCTGAACTCTACAACGTAAACTATAGGCCCTGACTGCCTAGAGCCCTCGATGCCTCCGTCATGATGGCCAGACCTCCACTCAGGGAATGGCAGAGCTTCGAAGCGCCTCTCACGTCCTCCACAAGGTCGGCTTTTAGGGCTTAGGCTTTAAGGTTTTCAGGGTTTAGGGGTTCAAGGTTCATGGATCAAATCCTCCACTTCGAAGAGGGTTGTTTTAATTGGAGGTTAGTCTTGATAGGCTTTGAGTGAGGTATTCCTGTGCCGGACCTCGTCCTCCTCTCCAATAGAGGTTAACAGTTTAGGATTTTGGGGGATCTGGAATTGGGGTTTAGGGCCCTTTACACCCTAATGATACCCTTAATCCCTACACCTCAAAGCCCCAAGCTATGAGCCTTAAACTATAGCAACTATAGTAGTCCTTGTAGCAACCTTCGGAGGAACCCTGATATTCTGGTCTATTTGAAATGAAAATTTAAGAACCCTAAGGGTCCATGTACCCAAGTAGTATATACTTTGGCCTTAAAGTAGTCCCTTTTACGTTACTTTCGGGCCAAGGTCTATACTATTCGGGTACATGCACCCTTCGGGGAATTTAAGGCTTTGTGTTCAATGTCTCAGGGTTTATGGTTTAAGGCCTGTGATCTGACAGACGAAGGCACTCTTCAGGACTGATGAGCACTTCAAGGCTTGCTGTAGGGCAACAGGAGCCTGGCCCAAAAGCAGCGCTGTGGCGTACACAACTCGTAACGCATGATTCGGCACCCTAAAGGATCATGTTGCCAATAATCGGTGACTATTCAGGGCGCCAGAGCTGGAAGCGGGGGTTCAGATTATGGGCTGGGTGCTGTCTGCCTGCCGTGCAACGCACTAAAAACAAGCAAGGACATCAAGCTTTGTAAGTAAACATGTACACAGATATAGGCATGGATAGATCTATGTTGATATTGTTGAAGCTCATAGTACGACCCGAGATCATGGTCGAAGTATCATGCACATGCACCTAGACCCCAAAACCGTATGTGCAAAATATGTATGTATGAATGCTGAAGCTCACAATACGCCTTGAGTACATGGTCGACATATAATGTGCATCTAACACTTAACCCTAAAACCTTCAACACAAAGGACACCCCCGTCCTCAAGAACCTCCTTGATCACCGTGGAGCACTGCATCAGCTGCCAAATGCTGGGGCCCCGCTTCAAGGTGGGATCCTTGATTTTCAGAGTCTAGGATTGGGGTTTGAAAGCTTAGGATTCGAAGTTTAGAGCCAGAGTCGTAGGGTTTAGGGTTCAGAGTTGGGGGTGGGATCCTGGAGAAAATTAGGGCGTCGGATTCTGAGACTCTTGTGGTTGTCTTTATCTTGGGGAATTCAAATTTCAGGGCCTTGATTTGTGTTTAAGGTTTATAGGTCTCTGTGTGGATTAGGGTCTGAGAGAGAGGGAGAGAAGGAGTGTGAGACAAAGAGAGAGAGAGAGAGAGAGATCTACATGTGCACAAACTTTCATTCCGTTTATGCAGTTGCTACAATTACATGCCTGTACAGACTATTATGGAACCAGGACCCAGCGACTACGATGGGGATAGTCGACAGCGGTAGAACTTGATATTGGTAGAAGATGTAAACCGCCAAGGGCTATGAAAGGACTGGTGTCTGAATGCACAGAGACTGTTGCCTTGGAGACTGCAGTTGACCCATGGCTATGTCAAGGTAGCCATGTCTGTCTGAAGTGTCCTCTTACTGATACCATCATATGGCTGCATATGTAGACATGAACATATACAAAACCCTACGTGCAATGAGACACAAGCAAAACTTGTATACACAAGCATGTTTATGTGTAAGCTGATTTATGTGTATGTATATATATATATGTATGTATGAGAACACACACACACATATATATATATATACATACATGTATATATATGTATATACACATACATAAATACGTGTTCATATCTGTTTCTGTATACTTATCTCTCTGCTTCTTTGCCCTACATGCACATGTGGCAGCTTCTGAGTAACTGATCTGGCATTAAGTGCTCTGCGAGCACACCACCATGCCCCAACAACACATGTTCTTGGTCATTGGGCTTATGACATGTGCATACCGAAGAGGGACATGCAAGGTTCAAGGCCGTATGCACACATAAACCAGGGAACTCTCTATAAAATGCTTATGCTCATGTGGGAGTTTCCGAAAATAGGGGACCCTAATCTAGGACACCAAATAGTAGGATCCTTACTATAAGGACCCCAAAATAAGGTACCCCTAATTTTCGGAAATTCCCATGTCCTTTTTGGGTCCCTAACAAGTGGGCTCCAAGTCTAGCTCTTGGATGCAAAGTTAAGCCAAAGACGGACAGCGGCCCCGCCACTGGAAGCCAATGCCGCTTTAGTTGAGGGTTTAGGGCCTTAAGGTTTAGGGTTTAGCGTTGATGCAGAGAAGCGCGGTTTTGGGCGATAAGTGGGGCTTTGGGGTTTACTGGTGTTCATTCAGACTTGTATTCATCATAAACCCACGACCCACCAAGCCCCTAATCCCCAAATCCCTTGACAACTCCCGGGAACGGAGAACTCTCTAAACCTCCCCCTGTGGGTCCATGTACCCAAGAACTATATACGTGCTTTGGTGTCAAAGTATATGTATGCTATTTGCGCATAGAGACCTTTTTATAGGGTCCCTCAAACTCTTGCCAGGGAGCCTTCGCCGTGTCGCGCGCGATGTCCTCGCACACTGCAGCACGCATCCTGGGGGGAAGGCTTCTAGGGTTTAGGGGTTTAGGGTTTAGGGGTTTAGGGTTTAGGGTGCCAACCCTGGTCTGCCAGCACCCGGGCGTAGGATTGATTTGGGGGCTTACGGTTCAGGGTCTAGGGCCACGGGAAGTTTTATGGTTGGGGGGTGCAGAGGTTTGGCCTGCTGCATTGTCTTCACAGATGGGGTCTTGAGGACGCAGTAAGTTGGGTCATTGCTGCAAGGAGCTTTTTAAACCCCCAAACCCTACCCCAAGGGTCCAAGTACCCAATAATCATATACTCTCCAAAATCCTAACCTACATAACTACTATCCTAAAACCCAGTACCTAATTATTGGGTCCTTTGGACCCTTGGGGCTACTGTTTTGTAGGTTCTTATTCTAAACCCCACTATGGAGTTTATAGGGGCCCTACGAAAAAGCAGGTTTTGGTAGGGTAAGGTAACTCTTTTTGATTAAAGCTCCGGACTCGAGCCGTCACACGTAACACAAAGATACGGTTGATGATATAAATCCTGCATTACCTTAAGAACCCTAAACTATTGGAATTATGGTATATTCCGTGTTATGGGTCATGCAGGGTTTATATCATCAACAGTAGGATAATCGTGTAACAGACAAGCAGACAGGGCCATGAAAGTGTATCCGGGCCTTGGTCACTGCTGCAAGCATGCCATCGTCTCCGGCGACTGTGTGGGCGAAGCATGCGCTTCTCTTGGAACACAAACCCAATTGAGGGAAGCCTCAGAAAATAGGGACCTCGGGGCAGCTGGAGCCTTACTGCAACGACTTCTAAACCCTAAACTCCAAAACCTCAACTTAACATATAAACCCCAAACTAGAAAGCCCTAAACCCTAAACCCTTAATTCTAAAACCTAAACCTATAATTAAACCCTAAATCAAACGACCCTAAACCGCACAATGCATCCTTGCCCTCAGCTGATGGGAGGCCAACAGGGGGGATTTAAGATTCTTGGGGTACGGATTCCTTAATATGAACCCTATTATGGGAACCCTAATCCCTAGTAAACCCCCGTAGGCTAAAACCCCTTTTGGCCGCCTATGATCAGGCCTTGGATCATGGGACTTAGTATAATTAAGTGGGCGTAAAAGTGGTTAAAAGTATAGTTACCCTATTTATAACCCCAGCTGCTAAGTCCCATGATCCTCTAAGTACCCTCAGCACCGAGAAGCTGGAAGCTCGGTCGCTTCTGGTGGCGGCGTCGAGCCTCGCATAGAGCTGATGCACACACGCACAACATGCTGTAAACAAATGGGTGGTTGTCAAAATCCGCCGAGGCCAGAGGCCCAGGCGTTTTGGTGGTTACCTCAGGTACCCTATGGTTGGTGACACCCTGTTTTTGCGTTCGTTTGCCACCCCCTTGCCCGGCTTCCCCTCATTTTACCTGATTTGTCGGCCTCCCCCCCCCTCCCAGGCCTCCCTTCCCTCTCCTTCTCCCCCCTCCCCCCCCTGCCCCCCCCCCCCCCCCCCCCCTCCCTGTGCCGATACACCCACAAGGAATACTCCTTGTTAGGAGGTGTATGACCAGTTATTCCCTAAGGATCAAAGGGCAGCGCCCTGCACACGGACAGTAGTTGTTTTGTCTTGCTACGCAAGGAGAGCTTGTCTTGTCTCAATATGGTAAAACCACTGTGAGCCAATGGGCAGCGGAATGTATATGTATGAGCATGCAGCCATTGCTGTAGGTACCTGTTAGAGCTACCCCTTTAGAGGTTTATGGTTTCAAACAGACACTAATTTTCTTTTACCGGAAGCATGGCCGCACATTCACACATATACTATTATGCCCACTGTCACAGTTGCGGAGTCTGGACTCATGATGAAAACAGCATATTATTTAAGCTAGGTATAGCACTGAAGTACACTGCTGAGGACACTCCTTTTGCACACACTCATGCATGTTGGTCAGAGAGATCGTCTGTACAAGATCATGTCTGGTGATATTTTCTACATCGAATTATGCAGCCCTTCACTTTGCTCTTGTTAGAGCTTTGTGAGTCACTGTTGTGAAACTCCGAGATTTTCCTTATCTCAGATTTGGATCCAGGTTTGGATCATAGGCTCGAGCGTAGACGTTCGGATGTGGCTCATCCGGGTCTGAGTGATCTTCTTCGGAACTTGAATAAATTCCGAGTAGTCTGTTCTCAGCCCTGGTGAAGGCGGCGTCTGCAGTATCATATCCATGGTTGGATGTTGTCGCCTTTGGCTCGGCCTTTGGCGCAGCTTGTGAGCTGACTGGAGTTGCCTTGGCTTTAGCCGGTTGTGGCTGCTTAGCCTTTGCCCGTTCAGCCCTTCTTCTTTCAAGCTGTCCGTCTGAGGACGCCCATGATCTTTCACTTTCATCTCCTGAAGGAGATAAGGCGTGGGCATAAAGGCTATTCCAGTACTGTGCTGCAGAAGGAGTTAGGACTTCTTCATTGTCAGATTCTGACTGGTCTTCCTCAGAGCTTTGGTCGTCAAAGAGTGTCTCGAGGACATTTTTGAGATTGTTATTTCTTCGCTCTATCTCTAGTGAGGAATGGACCAATTGGTTAAAGACTGTCCTTGAGTCCTTCAGTGCTGTTAGAAGGATTTCCACTCTGGATAGAGTATCTTGGATGGTGTCAAGATGTTCCTTCCTTTCCTCCTTGTCTCTCTGGATAGAGCTTCGCAATGATTGTGCGATTCTGAGGAGGTCTGTGTATTTCGTAAGAGGCATAGTTACCGTTTGATTGTCATGTATGACAGTTGTTTCGTCGCCGCTTAAGTTCCTGAATAGGACTTCCACGACTGGTAGAAACTCCGTGCTCCACGGTTCCTCTTCATCATATGTTTCTACGTGCTGTAGCACGCGTTGTGTAAACTGATCGGCTGCTTCTACCGTTGCATCGATAGAGCTGACGTGTCTTGCTGCCATGTTTCGGCACGTAATGTTAATTGCCTGGCCTTGATTGGCTTCGTTAAGTGCAGCGTCTGCATAGGTGCAGAGTCCACTGTTGTGGGCTTCTCTGGCTGCCTTTCGTTGAATGCGCCGATTTTGACCTCCTCTTCTGGTAGGACCTTTTGGTCTCGGAGGATCTGAAGGTACTGTTCCTTTCGCCTTTGGCGGAGGACTCTTAGGTGGAGGTGACATGTTTGCCTTGTTAGGCACTGGTGGCATTGCCTTGGGCGCTGACGACGATGCGGCACTTGAGAGTGCAGATGTACCTTTGGCTTTTGCCGAGGATCCCTTGGGGATCGATGTATAGGTAATCTGCATGGCTTCTTCGGCCATTTGTGCATGCAATGCATCTTTGAATAATTGCGTCATATGAGGAGTGGTACTTGCATCATCGTAGGTCTGGAAGCGCTCAATGTCTCTTTCGGTGCCACGTGGACGTGTATCACCTCTTTGAAAAGGATCGTTCCTGCGAATCTCCGCAACTTGTACTGCATGGAGGCAGTTTTTGCACAGCACCTTCCTGCAAACATCTCTTGCTTGCTTGAGCTGGTAACAGCTGTCTGAGAGATGGTAGACTTCGCTTCGGGAAGTATGCCAGATAGGTCGCAGATCAGTTGTTTCTCCGGAATTGACCCTGTTGGGTCCTAAAGGTTCACGCGTCTGCGGTTCATCCTCGGGTTCGAGGAATGGAACTCTTTGGTTCGCTGCTGCTTTTGATTTTGGTTGTTGGCGCTCCATACATCTGATAGGAGGCCTGGTAATCTGCTTCCACATCCAGTGTAAGCCCATTAGCAGCAGAAACACATTCCACGCGATGCTGAAGACGGAGAAGTCCTGCTCACTGGTTAGTGAGTTTGGAAGTGAAGTTTCATCAGTCTTGATAGACTCTGCGTTCGCTCCACCTTGGTTGCGGTGTCCGAACCAGCCCGACAACCCCGCTGCTGTAGCAGCTGTTCTGAGTGCCTTGCCGCTCGGAGCAGACGGTGGACGCGATGCCTTCCTTCTTCTCCTCCGGCTGGAGGATTCGTCCTCTTGTTCCTCTTCATCTCTCTGAGCAGACATCAAGTTTGATGTTTCTCTTTCGTGTTCTTCGATGTCACTTTTTGTTGGTGACGGTTCCTCTTCTAGTCCATCCAGCTCTTCCAAAGACATGTTGAGCTTGTCAACAATATTGGTTCTTTGAGGCCTGGACCTTGATCTTGGTAGATCTTGTTGTGAAGAGGACGATGATTCCTGGTTCCTTCTTGGAGGAGGACCTTCAGGCTCGCTGGGACGTTCAGGCTGTGGCCATTCCCAGAATCTTCCGTATCTGTGATGGCTACCTGATGGTTGCGATCTGTCGTACCAGCTGTTGCCGGATGAGTAAACGAATGAATCTTTGTAACCCCAGTATTCAGCATTACGCTGCTTGAAAGCCTTTCGCTTGTCAGCGATCTTCTGAACCTGGGCATCTGACCGGTTGTGTTTCCCTTTTGTAAGGATTGGTTGTATCGTGAAGCCCAAAGGGCTGTGCCAATCTTTGTCAGAGGGACTCAACCATAGGTCAAGGTTAGAAAAAGTTGAATAGTACTGCTTGACTGAGACAAACAGACGGATATCAATATCCCTGTTATTGTTCATGTCCTGCCACATATCTGAGATTCGCTCCCAGTATGTTCTTTCGGCGGCAGGTGTAACATCTCTTGGACTAGGTGACGCCGTGTGCGGCGTTTTACTCCAGTCAAGGATATAACTGTTGATACAGTCAAGGTCAGCAACTTTCTTCGCCGGGTCCGCCGGTAGACGATCTGCACGTGCCAGTCTGTGCTGGTCGGAGTTGTTCAAGCAAAGATGTCGCACTTGTGAGTGCCTTCCTGCTATTTTGTTGAATGCTGCAAGTTTCTTCTCCAGGTATAGAGAAAACAAACTGTTTCGCGGGTGAACGTCTCCACCTTTTAAGGTGAGCCTCGACGCAATATTATTGAGATCTCCCGCTATTACATCCGGTTTAAAAGGGAGAATCTCGTTGAGGAACGCGTTCACCAGTTCGCGTCTCTGTTCTTCCTTATGAGTC